TAAACATATTCTCCGGGGTCTAATACTAACGGTTTTACGCGTTTATCGTAATATTGTTTTGCAGATTCCTTAGCTTTTCGAAGGTTTTCCTCCGCATTTTTCTTCAAATAAGACAATCTATCAACTAAATCTACGAGAAATTCTCTGTGCGTAAGTCCTTGACGAGGTTCGATAAGCGTTGAGGGTAATCGCGGCTTTCGACCAAATATTAGTTCGTAAGGAGATATTTTTGTTCCTTCATGATACGAAGTGTTATATGAAAACATTGCGGCATCTAGAGACAAATCCCAATTATTCTGTTGTTGATTAATAAAAGGCTTTAAATATTCAGCTAATACATGGTGTGAGCGTTCGTGAGCGTTCTAGAGATCCGTTGGATTGCGGATGATAAATACTAGTTTTAATCTGTTTTATTCTAAAAATTCTAGCAACTTCTTTCATTATTTCTCCGGAAATATTACTGCCTTGATCTGAGAGCAATTCTGCAGGTGCACCAAAAGTATAAATGAATTTATTAATAATCATGTCGGCTATTGTTGTGCTATTAGTATCTGGTAATGGATATGCTGTGCAAAATTTTGACAACTGATCTTGTGTGGTTAATATATATTTATTTCCTTTTTCTGTTTCCGGTAAAGGTCCTACTATATCTATTGCAATTTTTTGAAATGTTTCGCTCGGAGTATCCGTAATCAACATAGGAGCTTTCGTTTTTTCACGAATTAATTTACGTTTCTGACAATCATGGCATGCTCTCACATAATTTTTAACATCTCTTTTCATACCGTCCCACGAATATTGTTGTACTCTTTTTAGAGTTTTAGTAACGCCTTTATGGCCGACTTTTGAGCTGTGCAATTCTTTAAGTATCTCTTGTTTTTCATTTAGATCAGTAATTTCTTTCGGAGCGGAATCGAGTAAAAATATTTGTAACGGTGTATCTTTAAATAAATATTTAATCATCTGAGTTATTTTTATTTTATTAACAGCATTATCTATGGGTGCTATTGATATTATTTTCTGATTATGTGAAATGGCATAATTCTTTAATTTAATTAAACATTTAAATACGGTTTCTAGATTTATGGGTGTCTGTTTACTTTCTCGCGTAATAAGATTTATTTCAGTTGAGCGTTTCTTTTTTATTATGTTAATATTCCCTGGCGTAAGTGTTATAT